TTTTGTACAAGATTCTTTCATGTGATCTTTTTTTGAACTGACTTATTGATATTATTTGGACTTTTTTTGGGGGGGGGCTATACATAATTATTTTAATTATATATTTATTAATTTTTTTTTTGTGGAATATTTTTATTCACTTTACTGTTTTTTTTTATATTGATTATGCGCCACTTGAATACTTGTTAACCACTTGCCCTCCAGAAGATTTACCCCCCTTAATGACAAGACCTCTTTTTGCTACTCAGTGCTGCACTAATTCAACTGCTAATTGTGCGGTCATGCAACGCTGTACCCAAATTAAATTTACGTCTTTTTTTTTTTTCCCACAAACTGAGCTTTCTTTTGGTGGTATTTGATCGCCTGCACGTTTTTATTCTTTGCACTATAAAAAAGGACCGGCAATTTTGAGGGGAAAAAAAAAAACAATATTTTGGACTTTTTGCTATAAAACATGTCCAGTAGAAAAATGTAAAAATCAAATTTCGGCATAAATTTAGGCCTAAATGTATTCTGCGACATGTCTTTGCTAAAAAAAAATCCCAGTACGTGTAAATTTTAAGCAGAAGTATAGCGTTTACAAATGGCGGTGTATACAGGAATTTTTAATTTTTTTTTAATACTAATAATGGCGGCGATCAGCAACTTATGGCGGGACTGTGGTGGAATTCTGACACTGGGGGGGGAACTGACTTGGGGTCACTGACATCCCCAGTGACACCAATACAGTGATTAGTGCAAAAAAAAAAAAAATACTGACACTGTGCTAATGGCACTGGGGAGGGAGGGGTTAACGTGAAGTCAATCAAAGGGTTAACTGTGTGAGGGGAGTGTTTCACTGTAAGCACACTGATCCAGAAGGCTGTGCTCAGCGATCTGGACCAGTGTGCTGAAACTGACAGGGAGGAGAAATGCAGTGTAAACAATACAGCTTTCTTCTCCATCAGCGCTTGCCGGTAATCGCCGGGCTCCGGCGGGTAATCACCGACCAGGACACGGTAATTGACTCCCGCGATCGGCGGTCTGGGTATGGTGGTCGCTACTGGAAATGCAAAATCATTTGTGTATATATAGGTGATTTTGCGCAGCGGTGCCAACCTGCCGCAGTAAATGTACTGTGGCTGGTCAGCAAGTGGTTAAAGTGTTTTTTTTTTTATATGATTTATTTATTTTTAAATGGGCAGCTTAGTTTATGTGGTTATACACAGTTATTATTTATTTGATAACGGCATTTATCACTTGTTTATATATTCAGCGCAGTTGTTGGTAGCATACCTTCATTACTTTCATAGAAATGTATAAACCCCAAAAATGTTTGTTCTCAATAAACAATATGCGTAATTGTCCAAACACGATAATAACCGTCCCCAAATACTATCCAATCTTCATGTGATAAATGACATCCAATTTTTTCTGTTTTTTGCCTTTATTTCACCACTTGAAAAAACACAGTTGTGACCACCACCATCAAACAACCCCCCAGGCGTCTTCTCACCTCACTCTATCATGTAAGATATAAAGTGAAGAACACAGTGCAGACCTCAAACCACTCATTTTATTAAAAATACCCACATATACACTCATATTCTGGCAGAGACTCCTCAAGATTCACCGTTGAAGGAAATTACTTCCTGCTTCCTTTATGGCTGTTACTCTGGTCTTTCATGGATATGTGCTACCCCCATAGCATCCCCCATGTACTCAAAAATGAAGACACTCTTTTGTAGAAGGCCCTTTCTTACTCTTTCACCCCCAGAATGTAGGGCCGTCCTACCTGGATGTGCAGACCGGTTTGCCTGTGGAGGTCTCCTAGCGCTGTGGTGGCACGGTCTCCATGTGCTCTCCCCCTCCCATTTGTTTTTTTGGCCCCCAGCTGGGGATATTTTTAGGCTATAGCTGGGGATGTTTTTAGGCTGTTCTTTGTTTCCTGGTCTTTAGACTGTGTAGAGGTGCCCAAAGGGATTGAGTTTCGCCCAGCCCTGGAGCTCAAGGCTTTGGATGCCTCTATGCAGATCCCACAGTTCAAAATGGACTCTATGTGCTCTGTAGTTGCCGCTCTTCATCCAGGCATTTTCCTGGCCTCCATAGACTTCCAGGACTCCTCTGCGCATTGCCATCTGTGTGAGGCACAAGCTGTTTTTTTATGAATGTACTCGGGGGCATGCATTATCAGTTTGTTGCGCTTCCCTTTGGACTGGCCTTCGCTGTCCAGGTATTTACCAAGGTTTTGCCCCTGCTTCCTGTCTTGCTGAAACAACAGGGGAACACTTTGTTACCTGGCAGATTTGCTCCTGTGTGCGGAGCTTTGCTCAGCCTTAAAGGACAATATCGAGGTTACCATATGCTCCTTGCAGAACTTCACTTGTTCTTGACCCTTGAGAAGTCTGCCTTGCCTCCATCCACATTTTTTTAGTAATTTGACCTGGCTCTCAATTTGAAGCAGGCCAAGGTGTTTTCTTCTGCCAAACTCCAGAAGCTCTAACCTGTCACCCAGTGGCTTTTGTCCCTCAAGCGGCCCTCCCTATAGTTTGCCTGCAGGCTCAGGGTCTGATGGTGGCTACTTTCAAAACAGTTCCATATGCCCAGTTTCATATGAGTGCTCTGCAGTAAAAAATTCCTGTCCAAGTGGGTCAGGGTACCTTCTTCCTGGGACAACCAGATTCATTTGGAATGGTTAATGAGGGTCTCTGTCCCCTAGTGGTTATGGTTTCCATCGTTGCAGGCCAGGTAGTACTTTCTTTCTCCTCGCTGGACAGTAGTCGTGGCAGATGCCAGCTAGTCGGGCTAAGAAAAAGTTTTGGACTCAAATTTGGCTCAAGGTCACTGGACAACAAAGCTCAACTGAGCATCAACGTCCTGGAGATTCAAACTATCACATTGTTCCTGCAGCATTGGACAGGTCCCCTCAGGGAGATCCCAGTTGGGATCTATTTTAGACTAAATAAATATAAGTGGCGCCAGAACAATAATAATAATAATTACAAACAATTTCTATGTCAAAATCTAGGCAAAATCTGCCCTATAATAAGGTGCATATAAATAAATACAATTTTTCAGACTGCGCTAGTAAAAAAAATTATAATAAAATAAATGTCCATGAACAAATAAATCTAAATCATATTAATATAAAAAATCATGTAAAGTCTCAAAAAACATATATATAAAGTGATAATGATGAAATAAATTCAAACGAAATCCACCACCGAATAAACTGAATAAACTCACCAGAGCAATATGCTGATCATATTATAAACCAGCATAAATGCTTTTCTGCTCTGGGAGCAATGATCTGTAGACAGTTGGGACAAAGCTTTGGCTTGGAAAAAACGATCTACACTACCCCTGGCGCAATACTCTACAGGAGACTCTGTGACTATAACAATGACCCAAAACATACGGCCAAGGCAACAAAGGAGTGGTTCAAGAAGAAGCACATTAAAGGTCCTAGAGTGGCCTAGCTAGTCTCCAGACCTTAATCCAATTGAAAATATGTGGAGGGAGCTGAACGTTCGAGTTGCCAAACATCAGCCACCAAACCTTAATGACTTGGAGAGGATCTGCCAAGAGGAGTGGGCCAAAATCCCTCTTGAGATGTTTGCAAATCTGGTGGCCAACAACAGGAAACGTCTGACCTCTGTGATTGCCAACAAGGGATTTGCCACCAAGTGCGAAGTCATGTTTTGTGAAGGGGATCAAATACTTATTTCCCTCATGAACATGCAAATCAGTGCATAATCTGTTAGACATGCATTTCTTTTGAATTTTGTGTTGCTATTCTGTCTCTCAGTGTTACAATACACCTACCATTCGATTTTTAGATCATTTTTGTGAGTGGGCAAACATTCAAAATCAGCAGGGGATCAAATACTTTGTCCCCTGCAAAGGGAAATGTTTAAAGAGATGCAGATCCTACAATTTTTCTCATTAGAGCCCTGCAGGTGTAACAGCTGATTGATAATTATAAAACCCCTCCCATACAGATTCACTCTGCACATGGACACAGACAAGCAAACAGCTACTACTTCAGAATAACCAAAGGTAGGAATTTGCAACACAGTTTATTAAAATCCTTGCAATGTACATAGATCACCCAGAGGAGAATGTTTTTTTTTCTCAACAAAAGTGGAGTTACTCTTTAAGCTTAAGAGTTTACCCCTTCATGGCTAGGCCATTTTTTGCTGTTTGGCACTGCGCTATTTTAACTGGCAATTGCTTGGTCATGTAAAACTGTACACAAATGAGATTTCTAATATTTTATTCACACAAATAGAGCTTTCTTTTGGTGGTAGTTGGTCACCACTGGGTTTTGTTTAATTGTATAAAAGCCTAAAAATTGTGGGAAATTTTTTTTTATTTATTTTTTCTTATAAAACATACCAATAAAAAAATTTTAAAAAATCCAATTTCTTCATAAATTTTGGCCAAAATGTATGCCGCTACATGTCTGAGTAAAAAAAATCCCAATACAAGTTAGAGTCTACAAATTGGAGTATACTGGAATTTGTATTTCTATTAGAGCCAGTTCACATTACATGCATTTCAGTGTGTCTTTTCTCTGCATCCAAAGCTCACAGAAATTAGGTTATATGGTTGTCAATGTCAGAATTCACATCAGTGCTTGTAGTTCCAGTCGCAGAAAGAAAAGTAGAACAGGTTGCATTTTTCCTGCCCTAAAATGTACTGGAACATGGTAAAACGCACGTGTCCCTATTTAACCACTTGCCTACCAGGCACTTATACCCCCTTATTTACCAGGCCAATTTTCAGCTTTCAGCGCTGCCACACTTTGATTGACAATTGCGCGGTCATGCAACATTGTACCCATATGAAATTTTGATCATTTTTTTCTCACAAATAGAGCTTTCTTTTGGTGGTATTTAATCGCCACTGGGCGCTTTACTTTTTGCGCTATAAATAAAAAAAGTGCAAAAAATTTGGAAAAAAAAAAGTTTCTTTGTTTCTATTATAAAATTTTTCAAACAGGTATTTTTTCTCCTTCACTGATGTGCGTTGATGAGGCAGCACTGATGGGCACTGATAGGCAGCACTAAAGGGCACTGATAGGCAGTACTAATGAGGTGGCACGGATAGGCGGCACTAATATGCAGCACTGATAGGCGGCACTGATAGGTGACACTGATGATGGGTACTGATAGACGGCACTGACTGGCATCACTGCTGGGCACTGACTGGCACGACCCCTGGGCACTGACTGGTGGCACTGACTGGCTGCACTGGTGGGCAGCACAAGTGGGTGGCACAGGTGGGTGGCACTGCTGGGCACAGGTAGGTGGCACTTCTGGGCACAGGTGTGTGACACTGCAGAGTGGCACAGGTGGGTGCACTGCTGGGCACAGGTGGGTGCACTGCTGGGCACAGGTGGGTGCACTGCTGGGCACAGGTGGGTGCACTGCTGGGCACAGGTGGGCGCACTGCTGGGCACCGATCATCAGGGCACTGATCATCAGTGCCCTGATGATCGGTGCCGATCCCCGCTCTGACAACTGCCGGTTCTCGGCAGTACTTTCCTCACGATCTGACAGCGTGAGGAAAGTGCAGCCGAGAATCGGCACTTGCATTTCCCTCTGATCAGCGTGTCATTGGACACCGCTGATCACGTGGTAAAAGGCCGCTGTGATTGGCCTTTTACCACATCACGTGATCAGCTGTGTCCGTAGGACACTGCGATCACGGAGATCGCCGGGTGCGCGCCCCCTGGGGCGCGCAGGAGAGCGTGTTCTGGGAGGACATCATATGACGTCCACTCAGAACTGGCCGGCCGCAGTGTAGCCGTCATTCGGCTATCTGCGGTCGGCAACTAGTTAAAGTTGAAGAAAAAGAGAGGGGAAAAAATGAACTGGGAAGCATAAAAAACACACCGGAACGTGTCAAACGTGTCAACCAGCCCTCATGTTCGTAATGGCACTACAATCCTGTCCACATGTCTGATTCATCAAAATGCATTTTTGTTCACACCTTTTCAGCATTATCCTTTGCACCTTATAAGCCCTCCCCCCCCTTATGTGGGTTCTCTGTGAGGGCCAGTTGACACCATGGCCAAATATGAATCACACAGGAACGTGCTGTGCATTCTCGTGCAATTCACATGTGTTTCTTTACGGTGCGATTTCAGGCATTTCATTTTCAATGGACTAAAATCACCTACACCAAAAGTAGTGCATACACTGCTTTGTAAAATGCACTGCAACCGGATCACATGGTACAGACGTACCAAACGATCAGATGCGGGCAAACAGTGTCTTTGTGACCTGCGCTTAGGGTGCTGTTGACTTTCCATTGATATCTGCTGCAGCTCACAAATGGAGTGTGTTTTGCATCTGTTGTGAATCACACAGACTTGAAAAGCAGACCTGAAAATCAAGGAGCCCTCCAAACAAGATTAGAGACAAAATTGTTTAAGTGTAAATTAAGGTTGGGTTTAACAAAAAAACTTTGAACATCCCACTGAGTACTGATAATTCTGTTAAACCAATATGGCACCTTTACTAACATGACAAGAGAAGGCTGTGATAATTGTGCGCACAGATGACAACCATATTTTGTATCAGACCCTGCAAATACCATTTTCTCTCCCCCTCCAGTCCCCCTCCCCTTGCAGGAATGACGTCTGTGTGTGTGTGCTGGGGTCACAAGTGCATAAGGCACAGCTGGATATCTTCATGGTTGTAACCCCAATTCGCCTTGTTCCATGATGTCTGGTTCACCCTTTCATCTGGCCGGGTCGTAAAGCTATAACTCAGTCCTTCACTTGACATGAAACCTTATCTCAGAGTGGCTGTAAAAATTACATCCCACTTGAATCACTTTTTCATCCAAATTCATAAATCCCGACAGGAACAAGGCCCATTTAAAACAAAGCATATATTCAGATAGGTCATTTTAACACGAGTCACCTGACACCTTACACCCCTATGTGGCGCCTACACGAGAGTAGAAAGCAATATGTTTTTATCTGGAACGGTAAGATATGTCATATTTGGTGTCTGGACGTTCAGAATATGATTCTGCATATTATTCTACCAGTGGATAGGATGCTACATGTACCTATGGAAGGTTATTGACCATGGTATAAACTTGGGAGGGATTTGAGTCACAGCCTGGGTCTCCGCCTAACACCCCTCCCCAAATGAGGCGATTGGCCCTTGGCTTAAGTGGATACCCCGTGCTGGGACACTAGAAAAGGCTGTCATGCCTGGAGAGAGGGAAGAAGAGATTATCCCTTTTAACATCAGGAACCAACTTTGGGAGAAAAGGTACCCTTTTGTTAAGGACACTTGAGCTCTGCTTAAACCAAGGACTTCTGCAGGTATCCTATTTTTTGAAACTTCTTTCTTTATCTCTCTGTTGTGTTTTTGCTCTATTTATATATATATTTGTTACATCTTTTTCTGTAAATATTTTTATTGTACCATTTTGACCTTTTTAGTAATAAATCCTATTTTCTGAAAAGTTTTGAACTGTTTCTAAAACTTTTTAATGCAAACTAAGAATCCCTGTCTCTGAAGAGTGCTACCCTGTGTTTTAACCCTCTGCATACATCTGTCTGCGGTGGCAGTGTGTATAAAGACGCTTATTCAAACATCATAATGTTACTGCTAAGATTTGTGAGTTTCCTCCTTCTCTGTAAAAAGGTGGTGGTGGCAGTGTGAAGGGTTAATTGCGTAATTAACCTGACCCAGTAACAATCGCTCTCAGGCTGCTGGCACATAGATTGTGGTCCAGAGAGCTAGAAAATCTGTGCAGGGCGCAGCTGAGAGTGGCATTTGTTACGCAAGTGGCAGCGCGGTCTTAGATTGGCTGGTCCTTCGGTCACAAGTTGGTGAGAACGGCTGGGGTCTGACGCCGCGCCCGTCACAAAGGCCACCCACCAAAATTCACAGACCAGGTAAGAGGGGACATTTCCTCCTAATGGCATTAATGGTGGTTGTGGTCTGGTTTCCAATGTGAGAATGTGCTGATCTCACAGCTCCCACCAGCACTCGGCTTAACGTAGGCAAAGGAGGCTTTGCTTGGCGTGAAATGGCTCTTTATCCACTCCCTTTATATTTGAACACCTCAGTGTGCTATCCTGCACTAGTATGCATTCACCCAAACCATGACAAAGAAAGAGGATCCTGCAGCACTGGACAAGCTACCTCAAAATGGTGTGAGACCTTTGCCCCCATGCTCCTAAAGATGCTACCAACAAGTTGGAGAGATTCATACACTTAGTAGCCAAGGAGATGGTTTCACAACCCAGTACAGCAAAGCTTGTAATTCCTCTCTGTGTACTCTCACTAACGAATTCCAACACCTTAGAGAAGATGTCCCCATTATGCGACAAGACATGCAAAAAGTGGAAAAACGGTCCTGAGGTTGCCTACATGTATTGAGAGGCATGCAGGAGGGGGGTGGGTGGATCAATGGGTGCCCTCCCAGAACTAGCCGAATGTTCTAGCAGTCGTTCGGGACTATAGTGCGGTCAGCAACTAGATAACTGGGAATGGGCTGAAAAAAATCCCAGGCGCCAGGACACCATTTCTAGTCACCATGGCGACCTGGAGCCTGGGATATTTCAAGCCCTCCCCTATCTCTCTCTCCCCCCTCCCCTATCTCTCTCTCTCCCCCCTCCCCTATCTCTCTCTCCCCCCTCCCCTATCTCTCTCCCCCCCCTCCCCTATCTCTCTCCCCTCCCCCAAATCTCTCTCCCCTCCCCCCATCTCTCTCCCCTCCCCCCCCCATCTCTCCCCCCCTCCCCTATCCTCTATCTCCCCCCCCCTCCCCTATCTCTCCCCCCCCCTCACCCTATCTCTCCCCCCCCCCTCCCCTATCTCCCCCCCCTCCCCTATCTCTCCCCCCCCCCCCCCTATCTCCCCCCTATCCCCTATCTCTCCCCTATCTCCCCCCCCCTCCCCTATCTCCCCCCCTCCCCTATCTCCCCCCCTCCCCTATCTCTCCCCCCTCCCCTATCTCTCCCCCCCTCCCCTATCTCTCCCCCCCCCCCCCTATCTCTCTCCCCCTCTCCCCCCCCCCCCCCTCCTCTCCCCTATCCCCCCCCCCCCCCCCTCCTCTCCCCTATCCCCCTCCTCTCCCCTATCCCCCTCCTCTACCTCTCCCCCTCTTCTCTCTCCCCCCTTTCCCCCCTCCCCCCTCTCTCCCCTCCGCCCTCTCCCCCCCCCCACCCTCCCCTCTCTCTCTCTCCCCCCTCCCCTCTCTCTCTCTCCCCCCTCCCCTCTCTCTCTCCCCCCTCCCCTCTCTCTCTCCCCCCCTCCCCTCTCTCTCTCCCCCCTCCACTCTCTCTCTCCCCCCTCCACTCTCTCTCCCCCCTCTCTCTCCCCCCCTCCTTAGGCTTTAAGATTTGTTTTAACCTTAGGTGTGAAGGGGTTAAGGTACTTAGACATAACCAATCACTTAACCCTTTTAGTGTGGGGGCAGCCCCACTGCAGGATAGAATTTTTGGTTTCCCCGGAGATGGGCTTCACTTAACCAGGTTGCTAACTCCAATTTTAGGTTTGATGGCTTCGCCAACTGTGTTTGCTTATGACTGGTGTGTCATTTTAGTTGAAGCTGACCTTTTTTTTCCACATTATTTTCAGAATTGGAACAACATTAAGGTCCTGCACCTAAAAACACAGACATCCGTGGCACTGCCTATTTACAATTCCCCTGCTGACAATCTGAAAAAACTAGATTCAACTCGTATGGGCCATAATGTAAGTCATTTATCTATTACTTAACACTTCATAACGTTGTTAATGAGGGTGTCAGCAGGACATGATTTTGGGTGCTGTTCGGTGAATTGGGACAGGATGTCACTGTCTTAATGTTTATTTTGAGTGAAAGCACAAGTTGAACAGCTGACTGGACATTGTAAAATGTATTAGTACATTTTCCTATATACTCTGTGTCAGCAGTATTACATTAATTTCCAGTGTTGGATGTAATTTCTTTTTTTTCAATAGTTTTTATGGAAGTTTTTCAGTTTTATCGAAAGAATAAACTGTTGCAAATGGCACTATAAGGTAATGGAGTAGTGCATTATCTAGATACATAACCAGAGAGAAAACATCTGGTAAAAAATAAATAAATAAATAATGAAATCATACTCCATACTTAGACCATTAGGTGCATTGTATCAGATTAAGTAAAATTGTCCAGCAGTATATGCCCCTGGGGTAATCGCCTTGTCAGTTATTTTTAGAATCTGTTATGTAGATCCATTTGTAATTTAAGACATGCATTGTATGTAGTAAACTTTAATTGCGTACATTATACATAACTAGACTTATGCAGGCCATAGATGGGGAGAAAAACGGCCGATTTTTCGTCCGAAAATAAA